GGGGGGGTGGATAAATATCTGGGGGTGTGCTGCTGAAAATTACTACATTTTACAAATTTAGTAGTAATTTATTATTTCTTACATCAAAATAAATGTAATTTGTGGGGGTGCCAAATGCCTTTAGGGGGGTGCAAATCTTTCCGGGGGGGGCCCCCCCAGAAAATATGTGCCTGGCAGCTTACATCACATAAAAACTTAAATGTAAATTTGAGTGTGATTATAATAATAAGATATAATAAAAGTACCAGTAGTATCCGATTAATATCTGGCAAATTTTTACTGAATGTCTTTATTTTACGGGATACCAGTCCCTGGATCCGGCAAATCCCTACTGTTCACCTGTGAAAATATTGATAGTTATGGATGCATGACCACTAACTGACTAGATGCATGCATGCTTTATTTGTGTAAAGGAATAAGTATGGCAAGGAAAATGTAATTTTGTCTGATGTTGTCAAAGCCCCAGAAGAGGAATGCAAGAAAGGTATGTTAATTAGTGCATTAGAGCTCGTTAATTTGCTAATGAATTCATTAAACTAATTACTTGATTAGAATGCAAAGGTTAGTTAAATACTGCATATTTGATTTGAACTCATTAATTTGCTAATTAATTCATGAAACTAATTAATTGACTAGCTTGGTTTTTATACTGAGAAGAGATTGATATAATTGTTTTAAAATGCAATCTGAAGGTGTTAATTAATAAGGAATCTGTTTAATGATCATCAACTCGTCGAGTGTCAGCGGTTATCCCCTTGACGAATAAAATTGTCTGGCGTTAGACAGTGTAAAGTAATCTGGTGTTAAACAGAGTAAAATAATAAAGTAGAGTGTGTTAGCTGGGCACACTGTAACTTAATTAATGGTTAATTATTGTTAACTAATTGTACCCCAGCCTAAATTACTGTAAGAATAAGTTGATTATACCATAGCAGTTGTCATAATTGGTTAACCCTTAAAGTGGCGATGCGCCCTACTTTATTATTTTACTCTGCCTGACGCCAGACGATTTTACATGTCAGGGTGAGAGTGCTGCCACTCGATGGGTTAAATTACAAACCGCAATTCACAAAATATTTAAACCAACATTATCATTTCAATAGGTCCCTTCATCTATGCTGACATACTGGACTACAAGAATCTTCAATCAATAGTCGTGAACAATCAGATAACATGGCTAGTTCATTTCAGCGCACTGCTAAGTGCTATTGGTGAACTAAATGTCCAGGAAGCATTGAAAATCAATGTGATTGGTTTTCACAATATTGTCGAGTTGTGTCGTCAGTATGATTTGCGCTTATTCTGTCCAAGCACCATTGGTGCGTTTGGTCCAGAAACACCAAAAGACCCGACACCTGATGTGACATTACAACGACCAACAACCATATATGGTGTGTCCAAAGTTCATATGGAACTTCTGGGAGAGGTAGGTTCTGTTTAGTATATCTCACAATGCAGAAAATGTCGTTTCAGCAACCAGAAATTCAACTTTTTCCGGAAGAGTATGCCCCAGGATTGCAACATAAATTATCAAGTTGTCCCCCCATAAGAAAATGATGAGTTGAGGAAAGCTATTGCCACACAGGCTAAAAACAAATGTTTGCTTTCTACTTTTGTTGCAGTACTACAATTACAAGTACGGTTTGGACTTCAGATCAGCACGATATCCAGGCGTGATATCAGCCGACACAGCACCTGGAGGTGGAACCACAGGTAAACTGGAATGTGTTTGCGATACAGTAGATACTCACTCCTGTAACATGTAGTTCTCTGATTATAATTTCACTTCATCCGCACAAGATAGATTTGATTCTACATCATGTTTCCTCCCACAGTAGCATTAGAGGAATAAGGCAAGGCGTGAAATAACGACCGGTCAATGGACAATGTCCGGCCAGAATGCGGAGTTGTCCGGTCGAATTCTTACCTTGCCGGTGATTTGACCGGTCACTTTCGGTAAAATCTATTAATTAATAATAATCAAAATAAAGTTGTCAAGTTGATAACCAAATTCTGCCATTTGAAAAGAGAGTTCTGGCATTTGTAAAGGGAGTTCAGGCATTTGAAAAGGGAGTTTTGCCATTTGAAAAGAGAGTTCTGGTATTTGAAAAGGGAGTAACTGCCATTTGAAAAGGTAGTTCTGGTATTTGAAAAGGGAGTTATGCCACTTGA